GCAGAACCGCGTTCAAAGAAGAATTCGATGACCGCAGATTTCTGGAAACTCAACCCAGAGTGTTATTATTATGTCATTTCAAATAGTTTGGATAACATTGTTAAAGAGAAAGACAAAACTAGTTTATTTATAGGTAGATTACACCGTTATTCAGGTAAATCATTCGTTCCTATCATTTATTGACGGAATGATTCTGATTTACGAAAAAAGTAAATTGTTAATATAATATATTTTTATATTTTTACGTATTTTGTTTTCGGTTAAAACAGCATAATATAAAAATGGATTATTAACATTTAAATAATATATGCTAATTGCAATTTAGTGCGCCGTAAGACTAATTTATGTATACGCGTTGTACAATAATTAACAAGAGAGTAGATTGATCTGTAATAGACCATTACAGGAGATACCTTTATATGGTAATGTTTGTTTAGAAACTAGTCCGATTCGGTAATCAAGAAAAATTAGATACATTTAATTTTTAGTTTATGTATATATATATCTTTAAATGATAAAGAAACCTTTTTTTTTCTCAGCGGTTTATGTCGCAACTGTAGTACATCTAATACTTTTTTATATGTATTATTGTTTATTTTATATGCCTCCGGTTTCAAAAGTATTTAAATTGCTACTTTTTTGTTTCTAATTCCACCACCCTTTCTTCTTTGCAAAACCTATTTTGTTTTTTTTTTTTTTTGGTTATAACAATTGTTCATGAATTATTTATTTTGTCACAATTTGGATCCACGTTTTTAATCGACATTTAAATATTCATCGAATAAAAAGAAAGGGGGAAAGCATATATAATTATTAAAAGTGAAAAAAAAAAATAATAATTATAGTGCTTTAGGTAATTAAATATCTGAACATTTTTATAAAAATAAAAAAATCATGGTTAAGTGGAAAAGGGAGAGGGAAAATAGGATAGTTAAGGACTACAAATATGACTTTGTTGATGTTCATGAGTTCGAACATCATGATTGCTTTCACAAATTACGATACTCTTGGGTCTTCATTATCGTTTTAAAAGCAGTGATGGTTTATATTGCCGATTTATATTCTATGACAGCTCTGTTACTTAACAATAACTGGGCTAGTACGGTTAAACCACCAATTT